CGGGCGGGTGGCAAATCCTCCCATTCCCTGGGGCTCGGGAGGGCACGTGCTGAGGGGAAAGCACCTGCCCCCGTTTCCCTTGCACTTGACCAGTTTTCTTGCCCTGTCCCTCCTTCCCCCCACAAAGGGACCTGCGGGTGCAGCTGGCTGGCGGGCAGGTTGGGACGGAAACGGGCTGCTTCTTGTTCTCCTGAGAGGCCCTGGGCTGGCCTGGGAGCGTGATACCCACAGCAGGGGTGGGGGGAAATCTGCTCTCCAGAGGAACTGCAGGGATTTTGAGAGGGAGTTAAAACAAGAAGCCAAAAATACCCCAAGGGGAAGCTTGTCTCTTCTACCCCGAGCACGGGTGCCTGGCTCTGCCCAGTGCAGGAGCCTGCAGCAGCCTGGGCCAGGGACCTTCCCCTTTGGCACCAGCAATGCCCTGGGCTGCAGCCCACCAGGCAGATGGAGAGGGACCTGGGAGCCGACAGGGTTTGTCCCTCCATGGGCACTGGTAGGAGCCCAGCGGGGCCCTGGATCCAGCTCTGGGCTCCTGGTAAAGCAGCGAGTGTGACAAAGGGGAGCAGCAGCAGTCACAGGGGTTGGAGCACAGGGGAGATGGAAGGAGGTAGGTTCATCCAACTGGGAGAAGAGAGGGTGAAGGAGATCTCCTAGGGGGATTATGGAGAAGATGGAGCTGGGCTCTTGTGGAGAGGCACCAGCAGAAGCTGCAGTGGGGAAGTCCCCACTGGACAGAAAGGAGAATGAAGCGGGGCAGGGTTGGAATGAGATTTGGCTGCTCTTTTCCCGAGGACTGACCTGTTCCTAGTGCTGGGCTGTTTCTGGTGTGGAATTGACACACAAACATTGTCTGACTTGGGGGCAACTGGACCCTTCCTGGCAGCTCCATGACCCTGGGACCACATGGATTGGGAACTGCAGAGGTGGCCTTGGAGGACATGGTGGGTCAGGTTCTGCTCCAGGAGAAAGATTTGAAGGCAGGAAGGAACTGAGCTACCAGAGGGGCCTAGGAGTGTTTTATAAAGGGTGACATGGGTGACAGTGTCCACGTGTAGTGTTGTCCATTACCTGGCACAGCGTGGACATGGAGCGATGGAGTGGTATTGCTGGTGATGGAGATGTGGGGGCCCTAGAGATGCTGCCACCTCTGTCTCAGGCCGCCATACTCCCACCTTGTATTCTTGATGCCTTTTTGCCTTGCAGGCAAAATGGATTCAATCTTTTTCAATGGGGATCTCACAGACCTCTTCTCACTCTACAACTACACCGACTACAGCACTGCTATGCCCAGTGTGGCTGTCTCCTCCTCCCCATGCCGGCCTGATAGCTCTTCCCTCAATAAGTACCTGGTAGTGGTGATCTATTGCCTTGTCTTCCTCCTCAGCGTGGTAGGGAATGGGCTGGTCGTGTTGGTGGTGACATCCAGCCACACAAACCGTTCTGTCACTGACGTCTACCTGCTCCACTTGGCCGTGGCAGACCTGCTTTTCGCCTTCAGCCTGCCGCTCTGGGCTGTCTACCGGGCCCACGAGTGGGTTTTCGGCACCGTGATGTGCAAGGCCATCTCTGTGCTGCAGGAGGCCAACTTCTACAGCGGCATCCTGCTGCTGGCGTGCATCAGCGTGGACCGCTACCTGGCCATCGTCTATGCCACCCGGGCCGCCACCGAGAAGAGGCACTGGGTTAAGTTTGTCTGCGTGGGCATCTGGGTCTTCTCGGTGTTGCTCTCCCTGCCCGTTCTGCTCTTCCGTGAGGCTTTCCACTCACCCAACAACGGCACGGTGTGCTACGAGCGCATTGGTGGCGAGGACACGGCCAAGTGGCGCTTGGTGCTGCGGATCCTCCCGCAGACCTTCGGCTTCGCCGTGCCCCTCCTGGTGATGCTCTTCTGCTACGGCGTCACCGTGCACACCCTCCTGCAGACCAAGAATGCCCAGAAGCAGCGGGCCATGAAGGTCATCCTGGCCGTGGTGCTGGTCTTCCTCATTTGCTGGCTGCCCTACAACATCACCCTGGTGAGCGACACCCTCATGAGGACACAGGCCATTGCTGAGACATGTGAGAGGAGAAACCGCATCGACACAGCCCTCTCCATCACACAGGTCCTGGGCTTCTCCCACAGCTGCATCAACCCCATCATCTATGCCTTCATCGGGCAGAAGTTTCGCAACAGCTTCCTCAAGATCTTGGCACAGCGCGGGCTCATCAGCAAGGATGCTGTGGCCCGCTACGGCCACCCTTCTTTCGCCTCCTCCTCTGGCAACACCTCCACCACCCTCTGAGCCCTGCTGCTCCCCCAGGACCTGCTCTGCCTTGCTTGCAGCAGGCCCCAACACCCCAACTTTCCCTTCCCGCACACCCTGGCACCCTCACACAGGCTCCAAGGACACAGCCTGGATGCCAGGCCCAGCCCTCCGGGGCTCCCCACTCACAGATGGGTGCCAAGAGGGTCTGTGCTCGTTGCGTGTTGGTCACAGTGAGAACGTGCGTGGGAGGGCTGCATGTGACTGCATGTGTGTGCAATGCTGCGCGTGTGAGGATAAGTTTGCGTGGGTGCAATTGTGTGAGCGTGTGATCAGATGTGCATACAGTCATGGTGTGACGAGGTACGTGTGGGAGTTTGTGTAGGTGGGGTTGTGTGAGGATGTGTGTGAATGTGCACAGCCGTGTGCCTGTGCGTGAGTGTACAGCAGTGTGTGTGACTGTATGTGTGTGACTGTATGTGTGCCTGGGCGGTGTGTGTGCATGTGTGTGTTTGTGTGTGTGTGATAGCTGAAACGTGCCTGTGTGAATGTGGGTGCGATTATGGGTGAGCATGTGAGCAGCATTTACATGTGAGAACCCAGTCATGCTCTCACATGCAAATACATGCACAAGCACTACTGGCTGTTCCTAAATTCATGTGTATGTCAGTGTGTGCAACTATGTGATCATCTGTAAGCTGATGCGTGTGTGATTGTGTGAGTGTGTTCATGCAAGGGTGTGCACAAGTGTATGTTTGAAAGTGTGAGCGATGTGACCGTGACACCGTGTGCGCGATGGGGGAGCGCAGGGCTGTGTGTGCGGCCGTGGGTGCCCTGGGAGGTGTGTGCCTCTGCCCAAGGCAGTGAGCTGGGGTGCAGGTAGCAGCCTGGGACACACAGGGGATGGAGCGGCCCTATGGCACCGTCAACAAGCCCCGGTGACACAGCGAGGACTGGTGCGCAGCGATGCCAGGGTGATGTGTGAGGCCACTGCTGGAAAAGGGGCCCAAGCTGGAAGAGTGCTTGGGTAGTGAGGGGGTATGGTCCACCCTGGCCTTGTTTCCAGAGAAGAGATGCCTAATGCTGCCCTCCTTTCCCTCTCTTCGGCACAGAGCCTGTGGCACTCGGGGACCCCACACCAGGGCCATGGGATGTGAATGATGTTCACACCTGGTGGCCATCCAGCAATAAAGAAGCTGATGGGTTGTCACCTGTGTTTGGCTCCTGATTTCCATGGGGATCTGGGACAGGGATGGGCATGGTGGGACAGGGATCAGGGCACACTTCTGGGGAGCCCCTTGGCCACGGTGTTTCTTGGGATGGCGGGTCCTGAGTGTCCTACCCCAGCAGGCTTCCTCCTTGCTGCCCTGTGTGCTGTGCTGAAAAGGCTGCACTCAGGGTGTCCAGGCCAGCTTGGCCTTGCGGTGTGCTGTAATACACCGTAATGCTCATTTCCAAGCCAGGAAAATGCCATTACCCAAGAGGCTGTTGCAGACACTTTTGCATCCTGTGCGTCTGCAGCAGGTCTCATGCTTTGCATCACGGAGCCAGGCCCTGCCTTGGCCTGCCCTGGGGGCTTCCACACCCCATTAGTCCTGCCTAGAACAGGGCTGGGAATCCCTTTCCCAAAACCCACCTGAGGCTACAAATCAGGGCAAGATCCCTTTGGAGCTGCTCCCTGCCATTGCTGTCACAGAACCAGCTCCGTCCCCAGTGGGCCAAGGGTACCAGTTCCTCTCCTGCCCCCATGGCAGTGCCGGACAGTCGTTGTGCAAAGGGCTGGGAACCTGCCCCTTACACAACCGGGCAGGGGAGGAGGGAGCATTTCCGCCCCTGCTTGGGCAACTGGGGCTGGCACAGGGCAGAGGGGCTGAAGAGGGGGATGTGACCCTGTGGGGGTCCCACCTGCCCCTCTCTGTGTCAGAGAGTCTGCCCCACAGAGAGTCTGCCCCAGCAGGCCCAGGTGCTGTTCCATTGAGGTCCTGTACTGCTCCTCCGTTGTCCCCTGCCCTGGGGTGCCGGGGGTCCGAGATGCAGAAGGCACCGGCGGGTGCTGCTGTGTGCTGTGGTGGGTGGTGAGGGGCTGAGGACAGGGGCCCAGGGGTCCCACACCTTGGGACTTGGGGCTGGGCAGGGGCAGCAGGGCAGCTGGGCAGGGGCAGCCCATCACCTTTGTATCTGGAAACCTCTTACCCAAGCAGTTCCTTGCAAGTGGTCAGGAAGCGGGAGCTGTTGGCTAACAGCTGTCTCTCCTGCCTGTTGCTGTCTTCCTGGCAGGACCTTGTGGTGATGCAGGGGGCAGGCAGAGGCTCAGATGGGGCACCTTTTCCTGAGACATATTTCCCCCACGGAGGGCTGTCCCCCTTTGTATCGCTCGCCTCCCGTGTCCCGGCCAAGGATTCAAAGTGATGACCAGCAGATGACACGGGAGCCACACAGTTAGCAGGAACGGGTTGTTTTCCTCTCCGTGGACCAGCCACGTGAAAGACGTGTCGCAAACCCTAAATTCTGAGTGGAAGGACCTGCGCAGCAGGCCCTGGACGCCTGGGTCCTTGGCTCATGCGAGTCCGTGAGGAGGCAGTCAGGGCAGGCTGTGGCTGGAGGGGGTTTCCCAAGCACGGCGGGGCACAGCCGGTCCTGGCTCACGTGGCCTGCTGTTGCCTTTGCTGGTAGCAAAGCAGGCAGCAACGGCCCTGCTTGCCCACGTCCACAGAGCACGCGTGGCACACCTTGCCCTGGCACAACCTGCGGAGAGAGCATGGGCTTGTATGCACAAAGGCCATGACATCCCCATGCCCCTTGTCCCCCTGGAATCCCACTCCTGCCTCATGCCCTCCCCACCTGCCCCAGGCCCCACCTGCAGCTGTATCGTCGCGAGAGGAGGCGGAAATCCTTGCGGCAGCGGGCACACAGCCCCATGTTGTGCGGTGCCACGCTGGGCATCTGTGGGTCTATGCCCTCCGTCTTCTGCCACAGTGCATCCTTCTCCCTGCAGAGAGGGATTGGGTCAGCTTCCCCAGGCACAGAGCCTTTCAGGAGCACCTCAGCACCCTCAGGAATGGGGACCCCCTGGGTGCACAGGGAAGGGCTGGCTGTCTCTCTTGGCATATCCCTTCCTGCAGCAGATGGGGATGTGTTGGAACGTGGCTGGGTGGACACTCGCACACGTGAATACCCTCACACGTAGACATTCATGTACGAGGTGTGTGCGCACAAGAGCCTGATGGCCTGGACAGGTCATGCACAGACAGGCAGGTGAGCGTATCTGGGGCAGGTCCAATTTGTTGCACCCAGAGGCGTTACAAGCTCCTACCCAACAGTCCGTTTCTGCTTGCTGACTGCGCGCTCTGGTTTACACATGTGTGACAGACCTGGCAAAAATCCGTGTGCCCTTTGGGGTAACATCCCCAATAGAGCCACCGCCCCCATTCCGCTAGCCCAGCAGTAAGAGGTCTGGGCGAAGGCCTGGCACCCAAGCCCCAGTGCGGGCACCCAAGTCTTCACCCTGGTCTCTGAGACAGTGAGGGGGATTTTCCCGGGCTCTGGTGCCCTCCTCTGGGCAGAGGGGTGTGAGAGGGTTCATTTGCAGGAGGCACAAAGCCGCCCGGCCGTGGTGGCCATGGAAAGGGTGGGTGCAGGCCTCTCACCGCAGCAGCTCCAGCAGCCGCCCCTTCATGTCGCGGATGAGCTCCTGCTGCCGGGCCTGCTCTTCGCCACGCGTGGCCTCCCGCTCCAGGGCCTCGCGCTGTGCCCGCTGCAGGGCCGATGCCCAGCGCTCTCCATCCTGCCGTGCTCTGGCACAGAGGGAGGAACAACAGCACTGAGTTGAGCCCCGGAGTGCCAGGACAGCTGGGGCCGTGGTGGGAATCCCACCCATCCGACAGCCCTCCATCCCTCCATCCATCCTTCCAGGTGCTCCCCCATCCATCCCCCAGCCCATCCATGTCTGCCTCCCCACGGCCATCTGTCACCCACCGGTCCATCTATCCACCTACGCAGCTGTTTTCCAGCCATTCATTTATCCTTCCCTCACCCATCCCTCCATCTCTTTGCCAGCCCATCCATTCCTCCATCCATCCATCCACTTCCTTCCAATCCATCCCTCACTCTCCCTCCACCCACCCATCTGTCCCTCCATCCATCTACTCACTCCAAACCTACCCCTCCACCCATTCGTCCATCCCCACCCCTCTTCACCCCTCCATCCATCCTCAATCCCTTATGCATTTCCTCACGCCAAAGGGCTCTTTGCCCACCTGCCCAGCTGCTCCTGCAGTCGCTCCCCCTCCTGCCGCTGGGCCCGGAGCTGCTGCCGGCTCTGCTGAGCCTCCTCCTGTGCCGCAGCGGCCAGGGAGGCCAGGTGCTGCGGGGAGAGGCAGCGGTTTTGGGGGGCTCTCACCAGGGAGGCTTATCCCCTGCCACACAGGGACGCGGTTCAGGTCACCTGTACCATCACCAGGCCGGTGGCTGTGCCAGGGCCCGGCTCTGCGCCGGCCTCCGCCAGCTCCTCTCCGCGGGACTCCCG